CACATATGTTTTCAAACAGCAAACATTTCAATGGCAAAAATGCTCAGCATAAGGTTTAAGGGGCTAAAACTAACTAAAAGTTTACTATATCTGTTTTATATACAGCTTTTGGTCAGAATGAGTCTTTCCTATGCGTTCAAACTGTTTTTTGGTTTTTTTTTAGATTTATTTTAGACCTCCTTTTAGCCTTTATTTTTCACAGGGCTGTAGAGTAGACAGGAAAGCAGCATGTGGTCCGGGTCAGGCTCTAACCCAGGCCCCCTCCGCACTAGCCTTTCGGCATGTGGGTCACCTGCTCAATCTAGTAAGCTCTACTGGTGCCACAGCCAGTTATTTTTATCCCAGCTGATGTCAGATAGTTGGTAAATCGACTAGCAACACCACTGTGCTTGTTCATTGCATGTTGGAACTTATTTAAACACACTCCTCCAACCACGTCATGGAATCAAAAAGTGGTCAAATTGTAGCAATCTCCTTCTTCTCCTGACTCTGCTTCTTGGTGCTGAGTTCTTTTAAATAACTTTGGAAAGAAGTTTTTAATTAGGTTTATGTCATATAACCTTTTTAAAATGTTACTGCCTTGTCACGGGTGACCTAGAAAGCTGACCATGGCGACCCTGAAACTATAGACTGATGGATCAAAGTTAGGTAGCTACCAAATATTAGCTAATTAACTCTCACCTTTGCTTTGACAGGGAAGAATTTCTTGTCCTTCATCTCTGAATATCTAGCCTTTTTATACTTTTACCTGAAATATAAGATTCAACACTGACACTTTCTCACACGCAGCAGGGACTGAATTCAAGGGTTTTTAACAAATGTGTGGAGTGTTGAGATTTGGGATGTTGCATTATCCTGCAGCAGCTGCAACGACAGGGGTGCAATATTGATTTTAATGCTTGTTGTTATACCAGCCGATTTAATTCAGTTAAATTCAGTTCAGGTTTATTTATATTCACAACAACAATAATTTGAAGATGTTTTATACTGTAAAGTGGACCTTCCATTATCATCATATATTATGATATCCACTGCCACAGTGTCATCATTCATTTATTTGATTGTGATCACTGTGTAGTGAAAATCTGATGTTGGCAGCCATGTGATGATGGGAGTCTGGTTTAGATATAGTTTGGCGCTAAAAAAAACAAAAAGCAAACAATTAAACAGATTTGTGGCTGTGAAAATTGTCCCACTGAGGGTTTCGTGTTCTGACCCTGCAGACGGTCTGTGAAAGACAGACATGTAACCAGACTGATGTCACTTTTTGTATTGACAAGATCTTGGGATGCCATGTTGTTTTTTTGTAATCAAAGGGTTTTTTCTAACCTTATGCAAAAAGGGCTTCTTCCTGTTCATTCCTTTCACAATAGAAGTCTTTGACATATATAAAAATTAGTTACTTTATGCAATGAATATATTTAAAAATCATAATAATTCTTTTCTTTTTTTTCTAACAAGTTTCATAAACATATAGATTCCAGTGTGTATGTACACTTTGCTAGTTCCAAGTTTGCCTTCTACTCCAAATCTTTGTGGCGCAGACTCAACAAGTTGCTGGAAACATTCCTCAGAGATTTTGAGCCATATTGACGCGACAGCATCACACAGTTGCTGCAGATTTGTTGAAGCTCCCATTGTATTGAGAGCCGGTTACTGTAGGTTGTTTGAGTACGGGGAACTCATTGTCATGTTCCAGAAACCAGTTTGAGATGAGCTTTGTGACATGGCGTGCACCACAAACCAAGACTCATCTGGCCAGGCAGCATTTTTCTGATCTC